CATTAATTTTTCCATTGCAGTAAAGGCAGTAGGAATTGTTTATTTTTAAAAAGAATCATACGCGTCTATAATAGTTTCGAATTTTGATAACAGATGGCGCGCTAATGCATCATGATCACTTATATTACAGTTTAACTATATCACCTAACTAAACAACCTAGTGTTGAACCGTACAGATGTGTGGAATTTACTGGCAACCATACAATGCTTAATTGTGAACGGCCCAGTTTGCAAGTGACATATCGTAAGGTAAGCTGATTATTTTATTAACTTCACGTCATTCTAGTCATAAAAATATTCGGTTTTTATATTGTAAATAATCTCATATTTGATAAAGAAATACATTAGCTATACTTTCTTAAGGCTTTTTATCGCTAAAATATCATCACAATTGTTCAACTTGTAGCAATAAAAGATATTAGTGTTTCTCTTCACATTTTCTATTTAATAAAAGTTTATACTAGTTTATACTATTCCTTAATTATTAGGGGGGAGGTTTAGATTATTTAGTCGAAAAAGTTACATTAGTTCAGATTGCCCAAATGACTGACATGGGCGTCAGCTGCTTTAACCCAGATAGAGTATATTAATGAAGTTCAAAGTAGTGAATATAGGCACACGTTCTTCAGATCAATAACCAGTTTAAAAAAATAATTGTTGAAGAATTTGAAAGAATCAAAGTGGAACTTTGTTGAAAGAATTTCCTGAAGTAGAATAAAGAAACTAAATATTAATTCATTTACAACTAAGTACAACCTTTACTATTACATATACACTTTATAACAAAACTATGCACCAAGAAGGAGTCATGCGAATGCAACAAAATCCAGTACATGTTATATACGTGTATTGAAAAAATAGATTTATTTCTTAGAGAAATCGCATCCTTTATTAAAGATGTGGAGAAGAATATATTGAATATATAAAAAAGAGGTTGGTCCATCTTTAGTCCTTATGCTAGCTGTTATTCGGCTTTATATTAATTGATAGAGTTGGCGGATGTCTGTCAGTAGAACCTGTTCAAATCATCCCTAACTGTGGTATTATATTGGAAAGATCCTAAGTTAGATACGTCGGCCATGCTGGCCAAGGTACTGTTGATCAAGCAAGAGGACAAGTAGCAGAAACTATTGCCGTGTGTCTTGCTAAAATGTAAGCTCAGAATACTGTGGTAATATAATTGGCGTAGAAATTTTTCGACGTATCGCCTTGCTGTAAGAGTGCTGCGGATGACTACCAAAGGGGCCCGACTATCAAGAGATATGGTCCCCCAGACCATAACTCCCAGTTGTCGAGCGTGTAGCGGGCGACAATCAGGTTGTTCACCTACTGCTGATCTGTACGTCTCTAGAAACGTCTTTGCTGGCTAATGAGGCTCAATACAAAACTTAACTCATCAGTGAAGAAGGTTATACTCCAGTCAGTAAAATTCCATATTTAATGAGTCCGACTCCATTTCAAACATGTTTGTCGGTATGTAAAAGTCAAAGGTAGTCAGGGCAATGGACACCGTGAGTTCTGATCTCTCTCTGAGCCGCCTATTAATGAACTTTACAGTCATTGATGTACCAAGAACGATTCAGATCGTTGTTAATGATAACTATGGGACTGTGAGTGTCTCGCTGGTAACTGCTCGTTCTTTATGTTCAGCCATCTCTCTAAGTTGCACTCTGCCTTCTTGACACAGTCTTTGGTCATGGCTTAGCCATTCCTGCCAACATCATTGCTTTCTCAAATAATCTATTGAATCATCGAATAATGGTTCCCCTTTTCTCCAAGTATTCTAAGCAATAATCGGCTTAGACCAACCAGATTCTTTTAGGTCAACTGCACGCCATTCCCAAAATGTTGACATATGTACATAGTGTCAAAGAATCTCTTTGCGATGCCTAGTTATTATGTGAGTAGACTGATATATAAACTCTCTTCAAATATTATATTAATCTCTCTGGAATTGATATATATATATTATAAAAATATTTTTTGAGTATAATTTACTTAATGGTATGATATTGTTATTCAGTCGTGAACAGAATAATAAAAACAGTTTATATCATTATTTGCCAGGTTGTTTTAATTGAGCTTAGAAATATGTATTGCATAATTTGAGAAAAGTACTGCCTGACTTAAGGCGAGTAGTGAAAGAAAAACAAAAGGCTTATTTACATATCTACAGAAGAATTTGAGCCGGCCAACGGGAAATAACAACAACAGTTATATTAAGGGAAGTCGCGACATCTGGTCGTCGATTTAACGGAGTATTTATCCTATAAATTATAATTTTTTAAAATAAAATAACTTTTTATATATTATATATATTTTAAAAACAAAAAAGGCATATCCTGACTAAGCTCATATGAGCATTTCTAGATGGCAGAGCGCCATCTTTTTTAAATTGTTTTTTCACATATATGTGAATGACTTTTCTTGATTTATCAAGAAATTGGGTTGGCCAAATATCAGGGAACAGGCTAAATCAATGTTTAGTTGATTTCTGTTCCACCAGATGGCGCTCTGCCTTCTGTAAAGCATATGTGCTCCTGGTCAGGATATGCTTTCTTTATTTTTAATATATGTTTTTGTTTTAAAGAAAAATATTGCCTAAGGTTTTTGATACATTTACAAAGTTGATATTCACATTTAATAAAAATATCTTAAAATTAGCATTTTAAATAGAGGATTCTTTATATCGTGATATATGGTTATTGATAAGTTTATATCTCTTGAGCAATTATTTCACTTCATTTATATTAGTTATAAATAGTTTAGAAGTCGCTTGTTATGCAAAATTGTAATTGAACAGTTTCCATGCAAATCGCTAGCGAAATATTACACAATTTATTCATTTGGAATTTGAAAACTTCAATACACTTTTCAACAATCGCCAAAGTGAAAGGCAGGGAAATGAACATAATGTTGGTGCATATGTGAAATTGTTTTATAAGTTTCCTTTAATAAAATATAGACCAAAAATTCTCATAAACCTTTTCAAATAACTATAAATAATAAAACCAACTTGAACTTTGAATATAATTAAACGATAAAATTTCTATAGAATATAAAATAAGAATATTATACTTAGTATGTCTTTTGTTTGTGGTTAAAGGATATAAATAATAAGGAGTATATTTATAAAATTCCTATTTTCATGATGAATGTATGAATTTAGGCAGAATTATAAGGAAGTGAAGGGACTTACTTTACAATTGGGGGGTAGTTGAGGATTCCTCAGAAAGTCCAGGGCGAGGGTGATATGGGATTATGCTGTTACGAATTGTTCAAGGATCTTTAGGTTAAATTGGTTTATAAACACGGTCCTCTATATGAAATATGGTTTTACACAAGAATCAACATGATCACAGATTTCTTGAGCAATTGATTAAAGTTTGCTTAGGGATTCTTCAACAAAGAAATAAAAAACCATAGAGAGTTCCTTTAATAGGCGGAATAAAGAACTTAATCATGGCCCCCATGGTTCTGTCATTTTATCAGTGTCATCTAAAAACAAGACCTTTTCTAAAGCTTGGTACGAGCTGCCTCTGACTATGGGAGAAGGGGTCGTTGTGGTGTTTTCTCCGTTCTAACGAATGCCAATCTACAGTAAATACTTTGCTTTAACATATATCAAATATATATTTTGAAACCTACAAGAAACATACTTGTAAATATACAAATAAATATACTTGTAAACCCACAAGTAAACATAATTTTAAACATACAAGTAAACATACTTGTAAACATACAAATAAACAAGTAAACATACTTGTAAACATACAAGTAAACATACTTGTAAACATACAAGTAAACATACTTGTAAACATGCAAGTAAACATACTTTTAAACATACAAGTAAACAAGTAAACATACAAGTAAACATACTTGTAAACATACAAATAAACAAGTAAACATACTTGTATACATGCAAGTAAACATACTTTTAAACATACAAGTAAACATACTTGTAAACATGCAAGTAAACATACTTTTAAACATACAAGTAAACAATTAAACATACTTTTAAACATACAAGTAAACAAGTAAACATACTTGTAAACATACAAGTAAACAAGTAAACATACTTGTATATTATTACATACAATAGGTTTATTTCTGTTTTATTTTTTCAATGCCCTTTCCCTTGTAGTCACGCAGAGTTCTGCCTCATACCTTCGTTTTTATCTTCAGCTATTCTGTTTATTTATGTCACCAGATATTATATATGCTTTTTCTATCCAATATAATATCTCTATATATATAAAAGTCAATGTCTGTCTGTCTGTTTCGCGATAAACTCAAAAACTACTGAACCAATTGGTACCAAATTTTGCATGTCGCTTTTTATAAACCTGAGGAAAATTTTCGGCTACATTTTGATTAGTATTTTTGGCTTTTTCTTTTTTTCATTTGAAGAACTTTTTTTACGCGGAGTAATCCGGAATGGAATGAATACCCAAATATGGCCATTTTTTATACGCATCGATGGTTCAGTGGTAGAATGCTCGCCTGCCACGAGGGCGGCCCGGGTTCGATTCCCGGCCGTTGCATTTTTTTTAACAATTTTTAAAACTCATTTATATTATATATAATATAAATATATATTATTATATCAACTATATTAATTAAATCAAATACCTAAACACTAATATAATACAATTTTTGCCATCACACACACTTTTTTCCTGTAGTTTATGTATTACTTCTGTATTGCTATTCTATGGCACTTCTATTTATTATTATTGATGTACTTTCAGTATGAAGGAAATTGCAATCGGGGGAATTCTCGGGCGAAGCCGGGTCATACGTCTAGTATTCTATATAAACCACGCAAGGTTCAATATATTTAGTAAATCGTAGGCCTATTAATATCTATAGTAATGTATTAATTGTATTAATGATTTATTCACCTAAGTAAACACAATGTATATGAAATATTACTGTTTAAAATATGCGTGCGTGTTTAAGAAAGATATTTATGTTTACATCAACATATTTTATTGAATCATCCAGTGAATTGCGTTAAATCTTTCATTAGCAATTGTAGAGCTTCTGGACTCTCTCAATATCACTGGCGGTCATGCCATATTTGGAGTAAGGCTCAGTCAGCCTGTGGATCTGGTTCTTGTCTTCCATGGTCTTGGATCGGCCGTCCTTGGAGAAGGCATATTCTCCGTAGATCATGATAGACGAATAGTCGAACTTATTGTAGAGCTTGTTCTGGTGAGCAGCAAGGATTTGGAACTGGTTAGACAACCCTGCAACACAAATTTTAAATTAATGCTGACAAATATAGCGGCCTAATCTAAATCTTGGAAATTAAATTAGCTATCACTAAGCTAAAAGGCAATATATTATGCAAGTTCAAAACGTTATTTAATGATAGATTAATGATTATATATAAAATTTAGATATAACGCTATTAGATGTAGGCCAATACAGAACAATTTATATTAATGTACATTTAATAACGATTACGTTAAAAGTATATATCCGCAATGGTGAAATTCATGATAATGTCCCTATATTCCATCACTTATTACTTGAATAATCCATAATATATTGTCTACTTTGATCAAATTAGACCATAAATTCACGAGACGTCATTCAGAAAGTGAATGGAGTAAGTTATTAATGAGTTTGCCTTGTTCTGGCCAACTACAGTGCTGTAAGCTACTCGTATGGAAGCTCGAGTCAGACAAATGGATAGTAATGGCCGACATGGGGTAATTGAGGGTGGCAAAGAGGCTGGGAAGTGAAGAATTCTTAGGCGATACGAGAACAAATTGATTCATCTACTCGATTCTATACTGTACGCATTATCATCTGGGAATCATGGATGTAATCGCATTATTATCAATTATCGAGCCTATTATGCAAATTTTGTTACTTTAGCTAAATATGAAAATTTTAATTGTATTAAACAGCCAGCTGGACAAATAAACCAGTTTGTTTGTAGTCAGTCTTCGAATCGGTCTAGTTCTTTGAGTCTGTGCTCCGATTAATTAGCGTTAGAAGATTCACCTAGTCGAAGAGGGTTGATGTTGCTCATGTAGTCAGAAGGTTTTATAAATAATCGAACGGCTCTAATTCAAGGGTAGTATTCAGCTGAAAAGGTCTGGCCTATCTAGATACAGTCCACGCTCTGCCAAACCAAAACAAAGTGCTAGCCAGGCTTATTTTTTTCTTATCCTTTTAATAGTCGAAATTAAATAAGATCTTGGAGGTCGTGCTCATGAAAGAAGTTCAAGAACTCTTCTTGGTTCTCTGTACAGGGATCCTTTGTCCTATCCAATACAATTTAGTATATGTTTTATATATTTCAACACACAAACGCGATATCCCGGCTAGGGATAATTGCGTCGATTTACAATGTTGGGGAGTGGCCTCCTCGGTTTTGCACCTAGTTCACATGGGGAAGCTTTTGGCTCCCTCTTTTTAGACTAGAGGGCGCAGGTGACCAGATTTCCATCTGGCCAACTGTGTCGACAGCCAGGCTTATAGACATAGGAAGTGGCAAGGGTTCCTAAGTATCGCTGTTAGGCCCTCATATACCGCCCAATCAGTATTTCTCTCTTAACCTTAATCTTCATTAATGATAGATTTCGAAGATCTGTATAACTTCATAGAATTCCTATGCATTCAATCTAGCGCTTCAATATATTGCACCTTCTCGATCACAGTATATTTCGAATAGATATAGAATTTTCGATTTTTGCATTTACCAACAAGTATTTTTCTAGATATTGTAATAATAACTATATATTTTTATTAGGAATTCTTTATTTTTCGTCTACTACTCATTGAAAATTAATTTCGATGAATCAATGTTGGTTAACGTATGGAAACAATTTCTGAAATAGGATTTCAATGCACACAACAGCTTTCATCTAAGTTGAAGATACAAACCAACTCGGATTATTCTACTACATAGTCGCCTTACTCAAATTTCCTTTGACTCACCAGCCTGGATGTTCTGCCAGTAGATGTTGATGTATTGGTCTCTGTCAGAACGGCTCTGCTCGTGGAAGAAGCCCAGAGCGTGGCCGATCTCGTGGACTACGGTACCGACGTAGTGACAACCGTTGCCCAGAGACAGGGGCTGCTTGCCTCCCGACATGCCTACGTAGGTGTAACACCTGGACCACACCTTTATTTACATATATGTCATAGAATATTTGTGTTAAAATGGCAATTCTCTCGGATTTCATGATATAATTGTTTTGACCAGTGACCGGTTACTCTGTGGTGTGTTGCGGTGTATATATAGATGGATGTCTTGGTTAGTTAGTTAGTTGTGTTATCTTACCGTGATCGGTTTAATAAAATCCTCCGGTGTTCAGTGCCCTCTCTCCCTCCTTTTTTCAACAGGTTATGGGCCCAGGATTACTTTAAAGAAATTATAGCATCAAGAAAGTATTCAAAATGTCAAGCCTTTATCAAATAGAAAAATTAAATTCTGAAAATTTTGAAACATGGAAGATGCAAATGAAAATGATTCTAATTCATTCCGAACTTTGGGATTATGCAAATAGCATAAGGATCAAACCTGAAACCGAAGTAGAATCTTCTGAATGGGAGAAGAATGACCAGAAGGCGCTAGCAACTATAGTCCTAAGTTTAAGTCCTCCAGAAATAATACACGTGAAGAGATGTAAAACTTCTGCAGAGGCATGGAAGCTTTTAAATAAAGTGCATCAGCCAAAAGGACCTGCAACGAAGGTGTTTCTTACGAAACAGTTGATATTATTGAAGATGAAACCAAATGAAAGGATGCAGGATTATCTAAACAAATTTAGCAGTTTGGCTGACAAGTTGAGTGAAATGGATGCACAAGTCCCAGAAGACTTCCTTTCTATCCTTTTATTATGTAGCCTTCCAGAGAGTTATGAAGGATTCAGAACAGCGATAGAAACTAGGGACGAACTGCCTAGCTTTGAAACTTTAAAAGTGAAAATGCTGGAGGAGGAAATTAGGCAAACTCAATTGAACGGCACAACTAATACCGAACAAGCTTTCCTTGGAAACCCAGAAAGAAAGAATTTTCCCAGCACATCAAAACCAAAGCCAAAGGGATTCCCATTTAGCTGCCACTTATGTGGAAAAAAGGGACATAAAGCTGCCGACTGCAGAAAAAGAAAGTCCAGGAACCCTAAAAATGAAATGGTTTCGTCCTTTGGGACAAAATATTTGAGTAAACTTGGCGCAAATGAATGGTGTCTGGATAGTGGCGCAACTGCCCACATGTGCAGCTCAAAAGACTCATTCGATCATTTTGAGGAGACTGCACCAGTAAAAATTACACTAGCCAATGGTAAATTCATTGAAGCTCTGGGAAAGGGGAAGGTAAAATTGGAATGTTCGGGTAAAAACGGACCTGTAACCTTATCCTTGGAAGACGTTTTATTTGTTCCTGAATTAAACGGCAATTTGTTTTCCATCAGTAGGTGTACGGGCAAATTTAATATTGTAAATTTCAAGTACAGAAAGGCTGAAATAGTGAATTTGCATACAAAAATTTGCATACAGGCCTATGAAAGGAATGGACTTTACATCTTAAGTCAAATTAATTGTCCTAAGGCATTAGCGACAAGTGAAATTTGCATAGCTGGAGAGAAAAATTACGAAAAATGGCATAGTAGACTTGGCCATTTAGATTTGCAAGATCTCAAAAAGCTAAAAATGCAAAATATTGTATACGGCCTGCCAATTTTTGATGTTAAAAATTTTACCTGTGAAGTTTGTTTGAAAGGTAAACAAACAAGGCTACCTTTTCAGAAAGAGTCTTTTACGAGAGCAAGGGAACCACTGGAGCTGATCCATACTGATATTTGTGGTCCCATGAGAACAGAATCATTGGGTGGCGCCCTTTATTTTTCAACATTTATTGATGACTTCTCAGGATTTATCTTCACATTTATAATGAAATCAAGAAGTGAAGTATTCAAAGGATTTAGAATATTCAAAAATTATGCTGAGAAGCAAACCGGAAAAAGGTTGAAATGTATTAGAAGTGATAATGCGCCTGAATACCTTAGCAAAGAGTTCAAAGATTACCTAGAAGGAGAAGGTATAGGACGTCAGCTCTCTGTAGAATATACACCTCAACAGAACGGTGTCGCTGAAAGAGCGAATAGAACTCTACTGGATATGACTAGGTGCTTCATGATCGAAGGTGATTTACCTGAAACTTTATGGGCTGAATTGATACATACATCAACTTTTATCAGAAATAGATGCCCGAGAAATAACGATTGTAAAACTCCACATGAGTTATTTACCAAAAGAAAACCTGTAGTTTCTCATTTAAAAATTATAGGAAGTAAATCGTTTGCCGTGAATAATAGGCCGAATAGATCTAAATTCGCACCTCGCAGTGAGGAATACAAGTTAATAGGGTATTTCACAGAATCTAAGGCATACAGACTTTGGAAGCCTGGTACACGTACAATTATAAAAGTAGAGATGTACGTTTTATTGAACCAGAATTGTCCAAAATTAGGAATGAAGTCGTTGAAATTGATGTTGGTTCAGAAAGGGCTTCTTTCAAGGAAATCCCTCTAGTAGAAGAAAGAGGAAGTACATCAGAAATTGACCCAAAAGCTGAAATTGAAAGCCAATCGGATCTAGAAGTATCTGAAGTGTTAAACGAGCCGTCAGAAAGTGAAGTGATAATTTCTAGAAGAGGAAGAGGAAGACCAAGGTATATTAGAACGGGAAAACCTGGCCGACCAAGAAAGGAGTACCCTACAGCCAATTTGTCAACGCAAGAACTTCTAGCGGCGAAATACTTGCCAGATCCAAAAGACGCAGAGGAAGCGCTGTCAGGAAGGGATTCTTATTTTTGGAAGAAAGCAATGGAGGAAGAGTTTGATTCCTTGATTGAGAACAAAACTTGGGAATTGGTTGATCCCCCTAAGAATCGAAACATCATAGGAACCAAATGGGTATTCAAAACGAAATGCAATAGTGATGGTTCTGTTGAGCGCCATAAGGCTCGCCTGGTAGCAAAAGGCTATTCACAGCAGTACGGAATAGACTACGAGGAAACTTTTGCCCCAGTAGTGCGCCAAAGTA